TATAGATAGGGACTAAAATTACTGTAGTTGTAACCTAACTACTAAAGAAAAGTCAACTACTTCAATTATAATCTGTTAACAGTTTATTCAGTGCATGGAAACCTGTGATACAAAGTTTAAACTATGTACAAAATTCAATTTAGCATTGTATAATAATCAACAATATCTTTTATCCCGTGACCATAAATTCAGAATTATTTTTATTATTGCAAGTTCGCTTACAGTTTTGTCTGATTTTAATGGACTCACTGAGTTGTTTTTAGGGCATGTTTCAGGGCAGTTGTTTTCATGACAATCAAGTTATTATAAGGAAAAAGTGTAATTTCATAAGAGAATGAAAAACAGAGACCTCGGAGGGAATGTCTGTGCAAAAGCAGATGTGTTTTTTTCTTGTTTTCTTGGGATTTTTGCACACAGCTGCTGATTGAGAAACTCTGTTTGAAAGAAGTATTTAACTGAAAGTCTCTACCATGGGGCCATTGAGCCATGACTGCAGCTTTGGAGGCATAGTTTGAAATCAAGTCAACAGAGTTGGCTTTCAGTTCACCACCAAAGATTCATAAAACTGCTCCAAAATTTGAGTCCCCTCTCCTCAATAGCTGGGTTGTACAACCCACAAGCAGTTCTTCAATACAACCAGTATTAAAGTCGCTAACTAGTTGTAGTCTTGAAAAACATGAGGGGAAAGATACTTTCATACTGCCACAATTACTTTTCCCAACAACTGATTTCACACAGCTCTTGCTCCTGGAAGCGGTCAACCAGCAAATGTTTTAAAAGTAGTTTGATGGAATGATGAACAAAAGAACAGCACTTAAATCCATTCTTCAGGCATTCACTGGTGCAAAAACCATTAAGATGATGGGAGCTCCCCAGTTTGGTTTCAGGAACACACAATATGGAGCTGTCATACACAACAATTTTTTCTGGCAGCCCTCATTCACGGTGCAAGGCAGCTCTTTAAGCCTGTGACATTTTGAATAGTTCTGCTTTCAATACCACCAAATGTCAAGTATCCATGAAGTTTTAAAATACTTAAAGGAACTGACCTTCCTCTGGTACTGTTTTTAGCACTGTTTGCACAATTATGCCAGTTCTGCTTTCAGTTTATTATACAATTTAAATATTTATTTAAAGTGTACACTTAAAGCTAGAATTTAAATCAGATTTTCAAACTTGAATGGTTCACTGGATTATTTCTACAGGATTCCCAAGGGTTATCAAGGCTATAGCTGATGTGTATTTAAGACAGCACTTCTGCCAGAAAACACAAACAAAAAGCAAATTGCATTCAACTCCCCCTTCCTCCTTGATCATTTCTTTGTGTTCATGTCCTCTTCCCAGCATAATGTCAACACACACTTTTCTACACTGACATGCACAAAACAAACAACAGAACAAATTCAGCTGAAAAAATAAACCAGCACAAAGCTATTTTTCATCTGGAATCCAGCTCATGGAACAACTTTACAGCTCCTGCACCAACAGAAGGCAGGAATGAGCCAGTTTGAGACTTGTCTGCTAAATATTTCAGTTAAGCCAACAACACACTGAAAACCTACAATGTTTTAGTAATGTACATATATAAGTTATTCCCATAAGAGAAAACACTGAAACATGAGTAGAGTCACAAATCCAAGAATACTGAGGGGAAAAAATAAATAATTTGTCAAGCCATTGGTCAAACTGATCCAAAATGGCAAATTTGGCACATTGTTATTTAATTCATATTTTCCTTTAAAAAAAAAAAGTGGCCATTTACTGATATCAGACAATCATTTATTTACGCAAAACTATGTGAAAAGAATATTTGGATGACAAGTCCAGATAATATATTGTAAATTACAGAATTCATAAGTAACTTTACACAAAAGTAACTAGAAGCAAATTTGAGGATGAACATTTCCATTTTGAATGAGGAAAAAAGCTCCTGGATTACAGAAGTGGAAAAAATAAAAAGCCAACAATTTGGCAATTTGGATAAAAGGCTTTTGTAAAACACCTTGTAAATGCACATGAGAAGATTCACATTCACATGTACAAGTAGTACTACTATAGTTCACTGCAATAGAAGCACAGAGAATGGAACACACAAATGAAAACAAAAATAAATGTGACCATTACATTTTTTTTCTTTTTCTTCTGACTCTGACTTGATGTAAAATCTTTCAACTTGCTCCTTTAAAGTTCTGATCATTCCAGAAATGGAATTTCATTGAATTCATATGTTTCTGATGTATGTATCCAAACCATACTCAGGTTAACAGCTATTCATTCCACCAAAAGACAAAGCATAACCTTTTTGTTCCTCCAGAGTGCAGTGCTATTGCACACTAATGCTGTTTGAATATTTATTTCACATTAAGGGTGCTTTTCTGCAGTCTATTTTAAGTAACTACCAAGGAGGGTTAAGTACAGGAGTGCAAGGACATGCCTATGAAGAAGTCTGTGGCTCAGGCTCTAATGGAAAGTTCAGCTGTATTAGGAGTTATTTGCCTGCAGTTTTCCACACCTTCCCAGCCAAAGGTTAACAGGCTGTGGGACCTGCTGGAGAAAGTGTCTCCTGCCTGCAGAACTTACTGGATTGCAGTGGGCTGAGGAGCCTGGAGAGATGATGAGCAGGCACAAGCTGATCAGGTACCTGGAATCCCTCGTACCAACAAAACTGCTTCCAGATCGTGTGTTCAGACAGCCGGGCTGGAACCAGCCCAGCCCAGCCGTGCATTACTCTCCTGGGAGGGGCCAGATCCAGGTTCAAACAGCAGCCCAGCCACATTCACCCAGGCAGAATGAGACAACTCCATTGCTCCAGACTGAAACTGGTCCAGAGGGAGCCCTGAGCACATGATCCCACAGCTCATCCCAAACACGAGGCTGCCTGTGCAGAGCACAACAGGCCATTGCCCCATTTAAATAGAATCCCAAACATGCCAATGTTTCCAATTAATGCTATTTACGAGCCACATAATCTACCAGTAAGGAGTTACTACTCCAACACTAAAGCTGAAGCCATCAGTGTCCTACCTTCTCAGGGGTAGGACTGGTTCTTGAGGTGTGTGATCAGCTGGGACTAGGTCTGAGTTAGCCTTCAAACACTGCTCCTGCTGGCCCTGCTGCCCTGGGAGCAGCCCTGCCAGCACACACAGAGAGGAGGGTGTGCCCAAGGACCAGCTCTTTTGGCAGGCAGGTTTCAGCATGACACAGCCTTAGGTAAAAGAATGAATTCAGGTGTCTGGAGAGTGGCCCAGCGAGCACTTCAGAGACATACGAGCTCATGGATGGGAAGAGCATTCTGAAGGAAATGTTCACTGCAACCACTTCTTAGTGGTAAAGGTACATAAAGCAGAGAACGTGATTTTATTCCTTGAACCCAACTTGAACTTTTTAGGATAGGTAGTTAAAAAAAGGGGTTTCAAATTTTTGAACTAAAAGTTGTTATACCAACAGAGAACATAATAAATTATACAAAATTAAAGTGTAATGTATGTGTAGAGGTACCCAATCATAGGAAAAAATTAAATAATATATTTCTATTAAACAGCTGAAGACCATAGGATGAAAGCCAGAGCAATATCCAGAATTATAATTATACACACTAGTCATCAACAAATGTTTCTATTTGTGTAGCTGACCATTAAAAGACTTTGCACCTTGGACTGCTACTTAGACCACACTGACTAATTCATCTCTGTCAAGCAGCTGACATTTGAAGAGACATTAAACAGCAACTATAAAAGCACTTCTATTTCTCCATCCATATCCAGGAGAGAGATTTTGAACCCACATGAACAAAATTGAGAGCCTGTGACAGTTCTGTGGGAAGAGCCTTACCCCTTACTGTCCCAGTATGATGGAAATCCATATTTAGGGAAAAAGTTTTATATGCAATGCTTCTGCATGAATAAAGCTTCATAGACAATATGTAATATGTCAAGTTATTTGCTGTACAGCTATTACAACTTCCTACAGATTTAAGTTGTATGAGTTTTATTCAGCCTGATACACTAATTGCTCCATGAGAAGAAAACTTAGGTGCATGGATACAGTTCACCCAGTGACCCTTCAGATTTCAGGGTACACCCTTTAAAAAAATTCCTACCATTAAAATACTTGTAAGTTATGTAAAGATATGAATAAGGAAGTTGAACAAGCCAGTAAGGCAGGATCTGTCAGGGGTTATGCAAAAAAAAAAAAAAAAAAAGTTAAGAAAACTGTTTAATACACCGCAGTGAAAAAGTTCGTGCTGGGAAGTCCTGAACGGAAACGGGAAAGTCTATCCGGCTCTGGGAAGCACCTGCCGGGCGGCAGCGAGCCCGCCAAGCGCGGCGGGAACGAAGCGCGGGGCGCGGGAACGAAGCGCGGGGCGCGGGAACGAAGCGCGGGGCGCGGGAACGAAGCGCGGGGCGCGGGAACGAAGCGCGGGGCGCGGGAACGAAGCGCGGGGCGCGGGAACGAAGCGCGGGGCGCGGCGGGGCGCGGCGGGGCGCGCACGGCCCCGGGAAGGCGGCACCGCCCCGCGCCCGCCGGCTGGGCTGAGCCCCCGGATCGGGGCCAGAGCGACTTCCCGCCGGACAGGGCGGGGAGCGCCGGGACGGCGGGACCGGCAGCGCGCGGCCAGCACCGAGCAAGGCTCCGGGGCGGGAGGGTGCGCGGCCCCGGAGCTGCCGGGAGTGCCCGGGCGGGTCCCGCAGCCGCTCCCGCCGGCGGCGCCGCCCGCCGCCAACAACAACAGCGCCGCTCGCCCCCGCCACTCCATCTCCCCGCAGCGCCGCCCCATTGGCTGCTCCCGCCGCCTCCTCCTCTCCCATTGGTCGCTCTCGCCGCCTCCTCTTTCCCCATTGGCCGCCCGGGCGCCCGCACGCCCTGAGTCCCCTCCCCGCCCCCACCCTGCGCCTGAGCCGGTCCCCGGCGCCTCCTCGCCCGCCCGGCCCGCCCGCCGCCCCTCACCGTGTAGTAGGAGAGCAGCCCCGCGTTGTAGTCCAGCACGAACCACCGGTACTGCCAGCCCTTCATTACATTGGTCCATTTGCTCAGCGGGCCCTCCATGATAGACGCCATCTTAGCACCGGACCGGCACCGCCGCGCACGCCGCGCGTTCGGTGAGGGGAGCGGGGGAGAGACTCGGCGGCCGCCGGGCGGGGAGGGGCGGAGCACGCAGCGGCGAGGCGGGGCCATGGGGCCCCTCTGCCCCGGGGGCGGTGTTTGCGCGCGCAGCGGGGAGGGGCCGTGAGGGGAGCGGAGCCCGGCGGGGGCAGCCCCGGGGTCTGGAGGGATGGAGTTTGGGATGCGGGGATTGAGGGCACTGCCTGAGGGATTCCAGCCCCGCGGCTGCTGCTCACGGCCCCGGGGCAGCAGAGGGCGAGGCGCGAGGGAGGGCTCTGAGGCGGTGCCGTGAGGGCTGTGAGGCGGTGCCGTGAGGGCTCTGAGGCGGTGCCGTGAGGGCTGTGAGGCGGTGCCGTGAGGGCTGTGAGGCGGTGCCGTGAGGGCTCTGAGGCGGTGCCGTGAGGGCTCTGAGGCGGTGCCGTGAGGGCTCTGTGGCGGTGCCGTGAGGGCACGGCGCGCTGGCTCTGCGGAGTGTGAGGGCGTCATCCTGTCCCCTAAAGCACTTTGGAACCTTTTAGTCCCTCTCTAAAATACTTGGCACTGCTTGGAAGCCTTGAGCATCTCTCGCTGGTGTACTTGTCCCCTCTGCCTCTCGGCTTTTTGCATGTCCAAAGTGCCTTAAGTCTAAACCAAAGTAGGCGTAACCATTGAGTCTGAGAGGGCTTCTCTTCAAAGTGCTCCACGTCCGCAGTGGAGCATGAGTCGAGATGACCTTTAAAAGTTAAGGCTTCAATGTGACGCAGCTTTCCTGTGGACTGATCCAAGAATGTGGAATGAATTCCCCAGGAGCTACGGACAATTGCAAATCTGTTGTTCAGCACAAGGCATGGTTTTGGCACTCATCTCCTCTGACATAAGTACAGAACTTGAGCTGTACTTTAACATGAAAATTTCAAAGGAGCCATAGGGATACTCATGTTCCTTCCTAGGGATCAACAATAAAGCAGCAGAAGTAGTGGTTTTACCATGAGGTTTGTGTTTATCATGCAGTCTAGCATGTTCATTAATAACATTTTTTCCTTTCCCCCTTATAGTCCTTTTTTATTATTTTACTATTTAAATTCCTCTATAGTTGGGCTGAAGTAGGTTTAGTGTCTCACAACACTGCAGCTTTATACTAAGTTAGCCAAAATTTAATAGAAAATTACCCCTTTAGTGAAAAAGAATCACTGTGTTTGGTTTTAGGAAATAAGAAATATTCCAGATTTCTAATTGTCTCCCCATATCACATGTCACATCATACACTAGTTTGTCACCAATGGGAATTTGGAACATTGATACTTCTCGGAGTCACCTGGTGGTGTGTTTATGTGTGGGGTTACCAATTTAGGGTACCTAATGCACAATCTGATTTTGAAATCTGGCTTGTTAATTTAGACAATATTTTTTTCCAAACTGCGTATGACCCTAGTAGTCTGGTTTTGTTTTTTATTTTCACTGACTAAACAAAGCAGAACTGCCTAGAGATTATACCCAGGCAAGCAAAACAAAAAACATCAGATGGTGCCAGAACATTACTAGTGCTGCCAGTTAAAGCTGTAGCTGGACTGGAGATTTATTATCTCAGATCACTCCTTCTATTATGCAACAGAAGTTGAAACAATGCAAAGAACTAATGGGAAAAAAACCCCCTCGGCTTCACCCTGAAAAACCTGTGTGTGGGTAGAGCATCCACAATAGGAAATTCTCCACAGAAGAGCTTTTTATTTACCTTGGTTTGCCAGAGGTTGAATTTCCTGAACTTCAGTTTACACTGAATATCTTAATAGTTCTCTGTTCTCTTTGACTCTTTTTTTTTTTTGGGAAGAAATGCGACAAAGACTTGTATCCACCTGGAAAAGCATGTATTTTAGATATCTCATTTTAGCTAAAAGTTTAGAGTAGGAAAATTTGTGTTAACAGGTATAAAAGGGAGAATTCAGCTCAAGGTTTCTTTTAGAAATGTAGTGTGGATAGTCTCTTAAAGCAATTTGGCAGAGATCAGGGAATCATTGTTTTTCAGAAAGCCCCACACAGATTGAAATAAATACATTTAAAATTACAGTCTTTGAGCATCCAGGGTATATAATACAGGTTTATGCACTTTCATGCTAGGATGCTCTATCTTCTGTGCCTGTCAAATAACTCCTCTATATTGAACATGGATCATGAGGACACTACTGAAGGATTTAGGATGAGCTGCTTAGATCCTTCTGATAAAGATTCTTGGGGCCTATTCAAATTCTTTTGAAAGATCAATGAAAACATTTTAGTTCATTTAAACAAATCAATAAACTGAAATCAGCAATGTGCCATAATCTCTTTTTATACCTTTTTATTTTAAATCATTAGCATCAATGATTTTGAATTAAAATTGGCTTAAAATAGAAGTTAGTGAGTAATTTCTTAATAGAAGAATTTGGTTTGCTTTAACATGTTCTGTCTGAATTCCATCTGGATCAGTTACAAAAAGCTGCTATTTCTGTAATTATAGGCAGTTTATTGTGATGTTCTCCATATTTTACAGAACTTAATTCAGACTGGAGTGTCACCCTCTGTACCATTTAGTACTTACTGTCACCTGAGAGAATAACATACTACACAACTAACAGAACTGGGCTGAAGGCAGCAGCTGTTAGCTTGTGCTGCCTTTTTTTCTTACACTGCTCCATCCACTGAAAATCTTGCCCAGCACCATTCTCTTGCCTCACAGAGGTCTCAGTTCTGTTATCCTGCCACAGTGTCCCAGCCACACACACATCTCCTGACCATGAAGTGGCCTCCAGGGTACTCAGACTGTCCCAGCAGGAATGTAGGGGGAAACCTCAGATATGCCCAGTCCTTCCTGTGTTTTCCAGGACATCCCAATTTGCACCCTACTTTAAAAAATTTCTTCTATGTTATTTTTCTTTGTCCAAGCTTGTCCAGTAAATTACATTTTTGCCATTACAGTTTAGATCCTCATGGTTTCCAGCCAGAAGGAAGACACTGCTGGTCAGAGTAACTACCAGTGAAGGACCAGGGTAGAAAATGGAAGCAAGAGAACACTGGAAGTCTGATTCTTTATGAAAAAATGCTTTTCTGTTGTAATTTTGCTGAAGTTATGGCTGAGCTCAGAAGAACCTCAGTGATGAAGTTGTGGCTTGTGGGTTTCCTTCAGGGTGTCTGGGAGTGTGGCTGGCAGCAGTGAAAGTGCCTTTTGGTTCTCCCAACAGCTGCAATTGCTTGGGGTTCTGAGGAACATAAGGAAGACATTTGAGAAGAGAACAAATAACAAATAACAAATAATTTTGTTTCAGTTTCTTGTCCAACTTCAGAAATGTTCTGGTAGTTTAATTTTGTATTTCTTTTTCTGTAAGTTCACTGTGTCAACTACTGATAATGTAATCATCATAATTAATAATTTATGTTTTAGTGGGGTGATAGTGGATGATTATTTTTTCGCTTGTTGGTAGCAAATAATGTCTTTTATTTGTACCTTCAGGGAAATATTCCCTCCATTTTATTTTTTACGGGTAATAAATGCAGTAATAAACTACAATCAAGTAGAAGATGAAGCATTCTGTGTCATCCTCAGTCTCCAGCTACTGTCCTTTACAGGTATTTTCTAGTCCCTCTGTGCACATCCCAATTACACTAAGAACAGGAGCACTGTCAGAGCCTAAACATTTTTTATTTTATTTCTTCAGAATTATGTTTGGTTTAGGGGATTATAGAGAGGAAGATAGATGGGAGAGAATCACCTTCACCCTACAAGCAGTCATTCTTCAAAGACAATGATTAAATCAAGAATGACAGTAAGTGCCATTGTAAGTAGATTTTCTGAATAGATTTATTATACTGTCACTGGGTTTAATACAAATATTTATGAAAAAAATCAACACGACAGTGGAAGGAGGACAGTAGCTGATTTCTGAGGCAAACAATTCTCTTGGGCCTTTTGTGCCAATTCCTCTATGATTCTATGAAACAAAAGCCATTAGCAATACATTTTCCCAATTCTGTCCATTTAAATCTAGTTTTCTCTGATTTTAATGAATTGTCATAAATTCATTAAATTGGTCAGGGATGGGGAACCTAGTTGTGGGTTAAGCAGACCTTTCAGAGTCTTCTAAATGACTCCATATTAGCATATTCTGGAAAAAATCAAATTACAGCAGGTTGTATGGGAATCAAGTAATCACGTCTCAGAATCCCAGTTCTGTTTTTGCTTATTGCTTATGGCTGTGTTTGGTGGAAGTTCACAACAGAAGGGGCTTTTCTTTTTGAACATTAGATCTGCCTTCCTGCAGTTCAGAATCTCATCCTTCCATGGTGTGTTTAGAGCTGCACTGGAGAGCACTGGAATATTGGAGCCAGTTCCCCAAAACCCGTGGAATATGTTCAACCAAACTGCGATGCCATTTTAGACAGGGCTGAAGACTCTCTCTTGCATTTAAGATAGAGATGATGCTGAAACTCAGATTTATTCTGTGTGTAGTTATTTAATCCTCCCTGGTAGTGCTGTCTGTCAGAGGGATGATGCAGCAAACACGCAGCTGACTCACCTCGCTGGCACGGGCACTTGGCAGGACGGGGAGGAGTTTGTCAGATGATGTCAGATGTTGTTGCAGTGTGTTAAAACAGGGAGTGGAGGTGCTTAATTAAGCGACTCCAGTGACTCACCTAATGGCCACATACTGCTACAAGGTCTACAGAGAAACACATTTTAAGGACATTATATATTGGAGTAGCTTTGAAACAGTAACAAAACGTAAATTTTTGGTGTGGTCTCTTAAGAGTAAATTCAGGTTTTGCATGACAGTTTGACATAATGTTATCTGGGAGTTGCAGGAGTGTAGATTGCCACTTTAGGACTCAACATCTCTTCAATAAGTACATTTCTGGGCTTGTTGTGGGGCTTGGCTGTTAAGAAATGTGATTATCTTCTGCACTCACTTTACCCAGAGGACAAAGAATTCCTCCCACATATCCTGATCACACTTGAGATCTTCAGTGTTCTCAGAAGAAGGAATTAATGGCAGTAAAAATTTAATGTGCAAAGCACCTTCTAACAAATTCTGTTACTTAAACATAGTATAAATCTAATGCAAAATACTTTTTAAAATTACCTAGCCTTTATACTGAAGAAATAGTTATTCAGGCTATTTTCCATCTCTAAGCTGGCTGAGTTCTGGTAATCTGCAAATCAATCCAGCAAGTAGAAAAATACTTGAATGAATTTTGGTGAACAATTCACTGTCATCTTTGTATTATTTTATTATAGAAGTTAAATGTCATCATTTACTCTTGAGATCAACAGGCCATGGACACTTCTAAAATTCAGAGTGGATAGGGTGCTGGGCCATATTGTCTAGTTTGTACTTTCACCAAGAAAGAATGGACTGTATTATCCTTGAGGATAATATGGTAATTCCAACCTGGTATTGTGTGAGTCTATGATTCTTTGCTGAGTACAGGAGTTTAGAATTCACAGCGTGCTGAATCCCATTTCATACTCCTAATGCATTGCTTAGATGGGTAATGCCTCATCATTTGATTTAAACGTCTTATCATCCTCTGGGCAGAATGTATTTAAAATTTAATGCAGAAGTCCCTGCTATTTTCTCAACCGCAAATAAGTGATTCCTACTTTAGCCTCCACAGAGACTTTGAAAAGATACAGAGGAATGCTGCTCAACTGGAATGTTTCCTTCATTGCAGCTGTGGTATGCAGCCCACTGCTACAAAAAGGCAAATACATATAATCCCTTTTCCTGAAGCTTTCTCACCATCACCTATTTTCATGGTGTTTGCCCTATTAAAGTGTTCAAGCAAAGTTACTTGCTCTTTGTAGTCAGTTTAGCAAGAATTCAATTCATCCATCATCATCATCTTCTTAAGAAATTTAGACTTACAGTAGAATTTGATGTGTAGCAAATTTAGCAAGGGAAAAGGTAAGAATTCGATTAGTAGAGTATTGTCACTATTCATAAGGATTATGTGCTGTGTTTGTTTTCAGTTAAGGGCTGTTTTTCTTTATACACTGTATTTATTTGTTCTTAATAGATACAGCAATAACAAAGGTAGTATTCAATACTGGTGTTTACACAGACAAGTAGGCTCCAAAATATATGCATGTTTTACTGTTATGAACAATATCCACACTCAGTGGTACAAAGTCATGGTAAAATCTGGAGGGAAAATATCTTTTTCCCTATCTTTTTTCCCCCATTTTTTTTTCGCCAGGTAAATAACAGATATCTGACTGTGATAATTTTTAGGGTATTAAATAGGTGCTGAAAAGAAGGATGAAAGTAAAATAGGGAGACCTAGAGCTGAGCAATCCATCATAATACACAAGTACAATGTGTGCCTTTATTGCTCATTTAATTTCCATAACTAGAGGTATTAAAGGGGTGTCTGTTAAAACTAAGTTTCCATTGTGTCAATGTAGAATGAGTTTCTGTCTCTTCTACATTTTATTCTGGAATTTAAGGTAAAATAATTTTTCTTGAGGTCTAGCATCACTCCCAGGGATTTGTGTGTAGGAGGAGTCCGTGAGCAGTATAAGCCCTCATTTAATACTGCCCTGATTTTGGGATGCTAAAAAGATTTTTCTTTAGGGTTACTGTTTCTTGTATAAGAATGAGAGACAAAACTAGCAAAGTTTATCCTAAAAAAAAACCCAAAAAAACCCAAAAAAATGGAGAAGATTTTTTCTTCTTATCTGAGAATGAAAAATCATTTTTCATGCCTAATTAAAGGATTTGCTTTCTCCCTGTTCTCATGAAAGCAAAAATGCAGAATTTTTTTTCCATCCTATTCAACTCGCTCTCTCTCTCTCCTATGAAAAATGAAAAAAGAAAGGCAAAAACTAATTTAGTAGAAGAAAAATAAGTAATCAGCAGAATACACTCAGGTTGCTCCCCAAAAATCATGATGTGCACTTGCACATTAGAAAGTGCACTTTAGAAAGTAGATGGGTGCTTTGCTACTGTACCAGCTCTCAGGAGCTGTCAGGAGAATATTCAATTTATATGTGAACTCCCAGACTCATGCAGAATGCAGCTACATCAGATCTCCAGATGAAGTGAAGCTTCAGTTTGGAGCAGCACCTCCTGCAGCTCCATCAGCTTGGTATGAGCAGGAATAAAACCCAGCTTCAAGATCAGGGAAAGCCCTTCACACACTGGTGAGGTTTCAGTCTTGGTAGGGTGAAGACAAAAGCTTTGGACATAATATTGGATACATTAAGCTGCTGTCCAAAGTAAAACAACCACTCACAAGAATTAACTCCAGCTTAGGTGAGTTCTGAACTGTAAATCATTGGAAGTTTGGTAAGTCCACCAGAACAGTCTCACTACATTTTCCACTCCTACCATTTTCCATAGCTATTGGCTATTGAGATAAGACACTGGAGATAGGACACTGAGCTGGACAGGACACCTTTCTTCTGAGCCATCAATGCTATTTTTTATTTTTAATATTAATATGATATTATTATTAATATTACTTTATTTTTCTTATTTTCATTTAGGGACTTATTTTCACCAAGGGACAATTTAACTATTATTTCAAGGAGAGTTTTGGGTTGTTAGGGCTATTTTTCACTAAAAGAGTGGTATCTTTGTGGGATCTTTAATAATATTGTAGCCTAATTTTTACATTTTAGTAGTTAGACCTTACTTTGCTGCTTCTCCAACATGAACAGTTTTGCTGATTTTTGCTGAAGCAGAAGTTGCTCAGAACTGTTGAAATACACCCAGATGTCATGGACTGAAACAAAGGAAATCCTATTCAGCTTGTACGCAGCAGCACACACAGGGCAGCTCTGTTACTCACTTTGTAAGCCAAGAAAATCCAGGCCTTGTTGCATCTATCTGCTTCCAAGTTTCAAAAGTTCAGTCTGTGAACTTCCCAGTGCCCCAATAAACTATTGCAGCAGTAACTGCAATGTAACTTCTAAGAAAATCCTACAATAACATTAATATTAAAATCTCTAAGTGCTACTGGAGTTAACCAAATTCTCTGGACAATTGACAAAATGGAGAGTTACATAATTTACTTTCCATTGCCCAAGAGAATTAGTTTTTGAAAATAAGCTTGTAAGGAATGTACTTAACAAGGAAGTCTAACAATAAAAACAGTCTGTAGTGTACAGTGAAACATTAATTTGCATAGCATAAGCTGAAGTTGGTAATGTTTAGGACATCATAGTTTCTTCCAGTGGTGTGTTTACTTGAGATATACACAATAAAGAATTTGTTCTAATTTACTGGTCAAATGTGCAATATAGTTTGGAGATAGCAGCTTTGAGCCTTTGGAAATAAGTTACCCAACAGAAGTGCAAGTTTAGTCAGGTGTTTCTCACTCCAGGCCAAACAGCCCAAATGTTGTTCACACTTTTGTGTTCCTTTGTTGTTGAGGTAGTTACAAGTACATAATCAAGAGCAAAATTTATTGTGCTGACTTAGAGATTAAAGCATGTCACTGCCCAGTTAAGCTCTGCTATTCATAATGCATAAGGAAAAGAGGAGGATCTGAGTTTATCATTAGCA